TCTCCTGAAGTCCTATCACATCACAGCCGGTCGCGGAACAAATCTGCATGACCGTCATCACGTTGTGACCGATGGGGTTCCTACCGCTGTAGGCGAGCGTGCGTACGTTGAACGTGCCGAACGATAGGTCGCCCTCTCGTGCCTTCTTCTTCCCAGCCGCCTTGACGGCCGCTGCGGTCTCGTGTCTCCCTCGATCTACCTCACGTTGCGGGTGTGCTTTCTTCCGTATCTTCCGAGCGGCGAGTTTCCTCGCATCAATCCATCTCTGCAGAGCTCGGTTCTTGCCTGTGGTGTTTTGACGAGGAGGGTGCAGCACTCCCTCCCCGCGGTGCCCGCGGTCGTCTCCCTTCTCCCGCGAGCGGTGCTTACTGACGTGGTGTTTACGAATCTCTCTACTCCTCCAGCTTCGTGGGCCACGCTTTCCGCGACGGTGGTTGCCAGGTGCAGTTTGCCGCTTTGCATTACTGCCGCGGGAACAGTGTCCATACACACCTCTCGCCACTACCACCGTCTGTGCATCCTCACCGCCACGCTGAGCCAGCGCGGCGGTGAGTTGCACCTTGGGACACCACCCGCCTACTATCTGTTGTGTCCTGGTTCGCCCGCGAGGGACTCACTAGGTCGAGTTCGGCCCCGGCCGGGGAGCAGGCCAAGGAGGGGGATAGAGTGTGGGGTCGGAATATACGTCAGTGCGTACGCACATGAAACTACAAAAAGAAATAGAAGAAAGAATCTGTTCAACCTCAGATTAAGTTTGGAATTCAACTTGCGGCCAAACGGAACTTCGGATAATGTTTACTGGCCAATGACACAGACCTCTTGGGTGGCGTTTTGACTCTGATTGTTATTCCATTGGCTGAAAACTATCATGTAGATACTTTGCAAAACTAAAGGGTACAAAAAATGCCCTTTCCAGTAAGCGTCGACAACGATACGTGTGCGAAATTCAAAAACGGTGAAAGGACACGTATACATTGTTCGTCAAGCCCCCCCTGCTCACACTCCCTCCCTAACCCCCACACCTGCAGACCCTGCACTGGAGTCTCCCACACTTGCAGACACCACCTGCCCAAGCAACACGCCACGCGGCTGACTCTTTTTGTCCCGCGTCGTGCATCACACGCCGTCGACCTGCTGCTGCTGCGCGTTCCATCGCCGTGTGTGTGTTCATCGAACGACTTCCCAGCGTGGGTTGTTGTTGTTGTTGTTGTTGACTTCACATTAAACCGTATGCCAGTTGCT